TCTTAAAGGAAATGTCTCTGTGTTCGAAGCAACGCCGGCATCGACGAGCACAAGGCACCCATTCAAAATGTCTCGGCAGGAGAGATTTTCTAGTTATTCTTCCGCTTCTGTAAATTTTCGTCCCGCTACTCCTCCCACAAAGTTTGACGCACATTCACACAAATTACATCAAACCATGTGCATATTTCTCGATCGGTGTGCTATGACTTTTCTAAGACATTCATCAAACGGTTCGTTCGTAAATCACAAAAATACCGAAAACCAAATGCATGGGAGTCAAGGTCTCTCGCTATTTAGAGCGAGCAGTCAAGGTCTCTCGCCCAATTAGAGCGAGTGGGGAAAAAATGGCTGAAAACGGCCATTTTTTAGCTGCTTTTTTTGTGTTTAAACACTTCTCCTAGCCACAAACGGAGTCCAACAGACATGATTTTTATATCAGGTGAAACTAGAGTTTGTTTCCTACGCACACATGTCACTCTGACATCTCTAAGTGCGTTAGTTTAAGCTGAGTCAATTTACCGAGAAAAGTTTTCCGGTCTCATTTCTCCATTGACTCCCATGTTAATTTCAGTCAGAAAAGGAGAAAAACGGAACAATTTCTAACTCGCTCCCACGGTCTCATTTCTGAACTCTAGATAGATCTGTACGTTCGGGGAAGTCTTGGGATTCTCACAATGTTTTCATTTCACATTCCTATCATTCACAGATAGGACTTCTAGTTTTTGAGTCACAAGCATTTGTTTGAAGACTGGCGCTAGAGCACAGCCCTCTGGCTTTCCCATTGACTCCAATGTTAATCTCAAAAAAACAACAGGTGTTTCTCATCAAATCAGTGAGTATCCATAGCAACCCCATAGACTGACAGAGGAAAAGTCTCCTCTTTAAATTTACGAATTTCGAATTTTTCACCACGCTCTGCTTTGGTCTAGTGGTTAAGGCACTTGCATCATGTGAAGTAAGTCTGGGTTCAAGACCGGGTGAGGGTGGGACATTTTGCTTCAATTTTGAAAATTTAAATTAAAGTAAAAATAAGCCCCCCCATCCCCCCCATTGTAATAGAATGTTATCAGGAAGTCTGTACAAAGCCTTTATTTTGAAGATAAACCCCCCCATAGTAATAGAATGCTACCAGGAAACCTGTAGAAAGCCTGGTTTTTCAAAATAAAACCCAGAGATGGTTACAGGATGTTCCCAGGGAGCTGGAAAAAGAGTGGATTTTCAAAATAAAAACCCCAAAATAGTTACAGAATGTTCCCAGGAAGCCTGAAAGACGCTGGTATTTCAAAATAAAGGTCCTGGATGATAACAAGACCTTACCAGGAAGCCCGATTGAGTCTGAATTTTCAAAATGAAATGCCATGGATGGTGATAAGACCTTACAACACAGTTTCTCTCTGTCTCTCTGAAATTGGTACAGTCTGTCTCTCTTTCACCAACCTGGATCATGTTATCAAAATGCAGCTTTTATACATGTCTTTCTCTCTCACTGTCTCACTCTCTGTCTCAGGGTCTCTCTCCGTCCTCTTGAACTGGTACAGTTTCTCACTCTCTTTCTGTCACCAAACTGGATGTAATTTTTTGTCTGTCCTTCGTCTTAAAGGAAATGTCTCTCTGTGCGGAGGAGCGGTGTCCAAAAGACACCCATTCAAAATGTCTCGGCAGGAGAAATTTTCTAGTTTTCTCAATTACTGTATACAAATGTGAGGGACTACATTACTTTAGTGTTGCAGTTTCATGTTACTATACTACTCCATTAGATCTCAGAGGGAAATATTGTACTTTTTTACTCCACTATGTTGTGATTATTAAAGGGTGACACCATTAAATGGTGTGCTTTTGGGCATTCAATACATTTTGCGAGTTGTGTTACCCATCCATGAAAAGGGGGAAAGGTGCTGTTTACAGTCAAGTGAAATGGTCTTGCTGGTTGTGGCTCCTGTTGTGCACCTGCTGGTCAGACATTGTGTCGTGGTCAATTGCTCGTGCGGAAGGTCTTAGGCAGGCTCTCGCTGCCTTTTGGAAGGTTTTAGCAGTCTGCTTCATGCAGGCCTGCTTGGAGGTTGGAGAGCTTGGGTAGGGAGAAGGTCTCCCTGGCTGGGTGAGTAGGAGAGATACCCACCTCTCCTCCTGGAGAGGATAAAATAGCCATCAGGTAAAACATTTAAAGTAGCTGTATGTGATAAACAAAAAACTCTAATTGCAGCTGAATTAGCTGCAATTTACTTTACACTTGTGAAACAAAATTAATCAAAACAACTTTAAACTCTCTCAATCAATAAATGTTCCACCTCTAAGATATTTCCAGAGGTCATAGGAACCACAGCAGAGCTGGAGTGCTGGTTATACAGTAGATTGACCCTGTGTATCTTTTTTTTTACTTTCAGTAATGACCTCTTTGTCATTACTGTCATACATTCCCTTTAGAGTTATGTAAAGCCTTTAAATTTGGTCATATGGCTGCAGTGTTGGTAAGGAACAATGTTGTGTAGGGCTG